CTCCAGCAAACTCTCTAAACTTGGACTTCTACTTTCTAGTGAGCTTAAAGATTTAGGTTATAATTAGCTTGTGCTGTTGAGGCTCAAATTAATTTTCCTAAGTTTAGAGCTGCCCATCAGGCTTTGTGAGGCGATTCCCTTGAGTTAATTTCGTTCGTGTGATTCAAGGAAGGTAAAGCTTGCCTTTCCTTCTTCCTCTGGTGTCGAGCTGCATCCTAAAATCCCTAACAACTCAAGCTCTATCAATTCTTCGCAAAGATTCCCTTTCAAATCTTCCCTAAAGGAAGCTCGAATCTCATGACGGGGGGAAGCGATGGGTTGAAAGCTCGTCAATGTCCCAGGGGGAGACAAAGACAAAGCTACTGAAATAGCATTCATATCTTCTCCATAGTATTCTTACTAGGAGTATCAGCTATTAGGCTTAGGGGGAGATCCACAACTACTCTTTGAGCAGTCTAAGAGTCCTTGTTTATTTTGGGAGTGTTAGTCTAGTTGTTTGTACTTCATCCAAGTATCAAATGTTCTTTGATTTTCGTTGCCTTTGAAGAAAATGATTCCTAGCTGCTTTTGGTTTATGTGTATTCTTTTAAGCATATTATTAGGACAGGCTGCACCAAATTGTTTGTTGAAGTGTGCAGTATATAGCAGCTATATATATTGGGCCATTGACAAGCTTAGGGGGAGTATGTTGAGTCAAGCATATCAATGGCTGCAATCAAAGAAGGAAAATGCTACAATCTTGTAAGTAAAGGAAAGAAAATCAAAGACAGCATAAAGGAGGAGAGATTCTGCAATCAGCAAGAACAATAAAGGAAAGAACTTCCCAATGGCTAGCTACAGGTCAAAGATGCAGATTTGCCACCTAGCAAATCAACACAAAGAAGGAAGGTTCTAACGACTGAAAAATTAGAGAAGAAATCAGATCATGAAGATTGGATACATCAGTGTTCTCAATCAAATCATCACAAATAGGGAAGGAATTTGAATGACTAACGGTCATATTCCTGCCTATAAAAGGCGACCTGAAGAACTAGCAATGGTAACCTTTTCCAAGAAATCAACAAAGCTAGCTAGGACAAAAGGGGATTTTGTGAGAGTAGCAAGGTTGATAGAAAAGGGGTTTCTCAAAGGGTTCGGGGAGAATTGCTTTGAGGGTTAGTGTTGGGGAAACACTGTTACGAGTTGCTGGGGAAGCAATTCGGGGTTTGAGAAGAGAGAGTTTGATCAATCGGGTTGAGATTGATCAAAGTGTTCTTGGGTAGATAGAGTTACATCGAACTTCATCGATATATCTTTAGTGAATCGTCGGAGATCACACAACAGTGATTCTCCGACCGTGGAGTAGTCAGTATTGGGATTCTTATTCTCCCAATACTGGAAACCACGTAAAAATCGTGGGCTGTTTTTTTATTCTGCTTTTCAGTTTCAGTTTTGTATGCACCTCTGTGTGTGTTCTGTTTCAAGTCTGAGTGTGCAGGGAAATTCGATCAAGAGTAGCTAAGGAAGACGAATGGTCAGATCTGGGTTGGAGAACCTATCGCGACCTGGTTTGATTTAATTTTCATCATAATTTTCTGGGTTTATACTGTTGTGTTCTTTGAGTTCTTCCCCTGTTCTTCACTCAAATAGAAACTGGTCTCAGCTTGATCGAAATCACTCAAGCGGGAAAGGTTGACTTAGTTTGATTTAAAACTCTGTCGTTTTTGTTCATCACTTAGAAGCTCGGTCGGGTCTAGAAATTGGTTGAACTGGGCTTTCGGGTTTTTACATTCCTCTAACTCAAACAATCGGGCTTATAGGCCCATTCAGGTAAGACTTAAGTTCTAATAGGTGGGTTTCGATTTAGCTGTCTAAGTGAGGGTGAAACTTTAATTAATTAGCCTAGTCGTGTTGAAAGAAGCAGAAGGCAGTTAGTTGTTTTAGGACATATATTAAATCTGTCTCTCATCTTTCTTTGTGCCAAACATTATCATAGAGCTTAAATTGTGGTCAAGTTATTTGAAAGACAGGTATAAAGTCTCGCGCTCGACGCAACCAACAGATGGTTCTGAAGATCGATCTCGCCAAAGCAATGATCGTATCAAGTGGAGCTTTGTCCGAGACACTCTTCTAGCTGCTGGAGTACCTCTAGCCTTCGTCGAGTTGACTATGCAGTGTATTTCCTCAGCGACGATGCAGATTCAGTGGAATGGAGGCCTCTCGGAGCCATTTACTCCTTCTCGCGGATTGCGGCAGGGCTGCCCCCTTTCTTCATATATTTTCACTCTGTATGGAGAGATTGGGGCACGTGATCAAGACTGTAGTAGACGATGGTACCTGACGCACAATCAGATTGTCTACACATGGACCATCGTTGTCTCACATCTTTTTTGCAGATGACCTCGTTCTTTTCGGCGAAGCATCTATGGCGCAGGTTCAAGCCATCTACCGATGCCTAGAGGAGTTTGGAGCTGCATCGGGTCAGCAAGTCAGCCGTCCCAAGTCAAGAGTTTTCTTTTTGAGGAATGTCACACATGCACACGCCACAGCTCTCAACTATGCCTTAGACATTCCGAAAACGAAAAACCTTGGCCGCTACTTGGGGATCCCTGTGATCCATGACCGGATCTCGAAAAACACCTACACAGAGCTCATTGATAGGATCGACAACAGGTTAGCGGGGTGGAAGGTGAAAGCTCTGTCTCTTGCAGCCAGGATCACGCTCTCGCAGTCCGTCCTTGCCGCATTACCTGCCTACACTATGCAAACCTCCTGGTTACCGACCGTAGTCAGGGAGTATATTGATAAAAAAAATAAGGGCGTACTGCTGGGGAAGCTCAGAAGCCAGGAAAAAGGTGCATCTTGTTGACTGGGAGACGGTGTGTCGATCAAAGGAAGAAGGGGGACTAGGATTTCGAGATGCGACGAGGATGAATGAGGCGTTTATGTTGAAAATCGCCTGGAGGCTTCTCAAGGAGCCGGATAGTCTTTGGGCTAGAGTTATTCGAGCTAAGTATTTACAACAGACGCCGACGGGTTGGCGACCGCGGACAACAGGTAGGCTGTCTAATCTATGGAAGGGGGTGATCTGAGTTCTCCACCTATTACCTTCAGCCATCATGTGGAATGTTAGAAGTGGAAAACAAACTTGTTTCTGGGTAGATCGTGGGTTGCAGGATGGCCAACCTTAGCGGAGATGGCCCCTAATCTCCCGGAGGCAGCTAAAGAACTCTCGGTGGCAGACATGGTGTTAAATGGACAATGAAATATCACTTACCTGAGGGAGTTCCTTCCCGAAGCGGTTATTCTTCAAATACTGCTCTACCCAATACCCCCATGAATAGGGAGAAGACACGCCATGCTGGAGACTTACCACAAATATGGTCTTCTCATTGAAGTCGGCATATGAGCTCACTGAAGGTAACAATAAAGGGGTTGGGCTTGCCGATCCCAAGTGGAAGGCCATATGGAAGACGCCCGCTCCCCAGAGAACGAAGACCTTCATGTGGTTGGCAACCCACCAGCGTCTTCTTACGAATGCTGAACGAGCTCGGCGTCATCTGACATCTAATGAGGCCTGCCCAGTCTGTGGAGGGGGCCCAAAGACGACCCTTCACATTCTCAAAGACTGTTCCTATGCGCGTGCAGCTTGGGCGGAAATCCTGCAAGATGAACCAGATGATACTTTCTTCCAAGAGGATTTGTCTCGGTGGATCCTTCACTATGTGGCGGGTAAGAGTGAGACTATTAACCCTTCATTATTCGCGATTCTGTGCTGGAAATTATGGAAAAACAGGAACGCTAAAGTCTTTGAAGACAAGCTGGAAACTACCGTTGAGATAATTGGAGGGACAAAGATCATAGACAACAATTGGAGTGGGCATTTGCAAAGGAGACGTTAGTGATGGGGAGTGGGAGCCCACGGACGCGGGCACTGATCCAGTGGCAGCCTCCACCGCCAGGGTGGGTGGCCCTGAACACAGATGGCACGATGCAGCTCAACCTAGGCACGACAGCGGCAGGAGGTGTCCTCAGGGATGAAGCGGGTCGGTTTCTCCGAGTCTATGCGATAAATCTTGGTGGAGGATTCATTTTGCATGCCGAGCTGGTCGGGATAGTTCATGGGTTGCGAGAGGTTTGGACGGCTGGGTTCCGGCAGGTGGAGCTCCAAACCGACTCCTTGATTGTTGTTCAGCTTCTTCATATGCCACCGGAGAGTCACCCTCACCATGCCTTGATTAGAGCTGCGACAGAGCTCTTGCATTTGGATTGACAAGTTGACGTCACGCACGTGTATCAGGAGGGTAATTTCGATGCTGATTTTTTGGCTTCGCTGGGTTATAGCTATCCTATAGGAGCTCACTCTTTTGATGCCCCCTTACCCCTCTTGAGCCATTGGCTGTTGTACGATCGGCTGGAGATTTCCACCCCACGTCTCATTAATAATATTGGGTAGGATCAATGGAGTCAAAAGCGCGATTCTACCTAGAAGCGGAAAAGTGGTAAAATCATAAAACGTAAAATTAAAGGGTAAAAGCGTAAGTTTTTGACACATACTGTAAAAGAACTAAAAATATGTTAAGTACGACATATACTATGAAAAATATGAGTGCACAAATTTAGATAAGTTAATAAATACTTGCAATTCATGTATAAAGTAGAGCAACTTATAGCCTCTTAATAATAAGTTCATAAACATAAATCTTATCAAGAAGCCACATTCCCCTCCATTCTAATGAATTTGAGAAGAGCTTAGACGGTGAATTATATTACTTTATTAAAGTTCAGAATGCATCAAAGTATCTAGTATGTATCTTTTAATCTTAAACGTATCATATCGTCGGTGATTTATTTTAAAAATATACTTTTTATAATTAATTTCATGAAAAAAATACCCATTCAGTGAAGTAAAAGCATAAAAACGTAAAGCGTTTTAGTGAACTAGAAGCGTAAAAGCGTAAGTTTTGAAGTTTTAAAGCACAATTTAGTCTGATTATATACACTAAAGTTTTTACGTAGAAACGAAAACGTTTTGGTGACCTAGAAGCGTAAAACCGTAAGTTTTTAAATTTTAAAGCGCGATTTTAACTACATTGGGTAGGAGTGCCCCTTCTTGCGCTCTGATTAATAAATAAAAAATTTACACAATAATTTTTTTAATTAAACATCGACATTTATATTGTAATATTTATAAATGGAATAGGGATTTTATAAGGAAAAGAAAAGTTGAAGAAATAATTGCGTGCGGATAATCCCACACCACATGTCGGTTGTATTTGTATAAGACTACAAAGTTCCATTCCAAAACGCATCGGGCTGGCGATAAAGAAACAAAACAGAAGGCCAGTAACCAAAACAAAACAGCAGACCTCACCATAGGAACGGTGGGGGCGCGACCTCTCTATAACAACCCATCAGGAGAGAGAGCAGGAGACTGTTCCATTCAAACATAAAAAATAAGAAAGCACTCATAAATAATAAATCGCCTTAAAAATAGGGAGAAAGCCAGGAAAATTGATTTATTTAAAGCAAGTAGAAAGGGAATGAAAAAGCTGAAATTGATTCAAGTTTGAGATCCGCATTCTGAACATCCCGAAGAAGAAGAAGAACGGCGAGCCAACCAAACAGCTCTCTCTCTCTCTCTAGAGGAAGGAGCACAACAACCGGCCGAGTAACCGGAGCTTCTACAGCTCCACCGTTGTGGCGGCGTATGATAATAACTATACAGCAAGTTTCGGAGGGCTGAAATCCATCTCCACCGCCCGTTCTACCCCGTTTTCCCCCACGTGGATGGGCCAGTCAAGTTCCACGGCTGCCGTCGCGAGCCGCCGGGACACCAACCTTAGCCACCGCTTCAAGTTCAAATCCTCCTTCTCCACCTCGTCGCCGATTAAAGGCGGCGGCGACGACAACAACGCCGAAGATTTCATGGTCTTCGAGGCGCCTGATTACATATCGGATCTGCCGGATGAGTGCTTGGCCGTCGTTTTCCAATCGCTGAGCTCCGCCGACAGGAAACGATGTTCCATGGTCTGCCGCCGGTGGCTCATGATCGAAGGCCAGAGCCGCCACCGCCTCTCCCTCAACGCGCAGGCCGATCTCCTCACCTTGGTGCCGAAGCTGTTCACTCGCTTCGATTCCGTCACCAAGCTCGCCCTGAAATGCGAGCGCAGATCCACGAGCATCGGCGACGAGGCCCTCACGATGATCTCTTTCCGATGCAGGAACCTCACGCGCCTCAAGCTCCGCTCGTGCCGCGAGGTCACCGACGCCGGGATGGAGGCCTTCGCCAAGAACTGCAGGTCGCTGAAGAAGCTCTCCTGCGGATCTTGCAACTTCGGCGCCAAAGGTATGAACGCCATCCTTAACAACTGTGCATCTCTGGAAGAGCTGTCCGTGAAGCGGCTCCGCGGAATCACCGACGGAGCCGCGGCGGAGCCGATTGGTCCCGGTCTAGCCGCGTCTTCCCTCAAAACGATTTGCTTAAAGGAGCTTTACAACGGACAGTGTTTCGGCCCGCTCATAATCGGGTCAAAGAATCTCAGAACCTTGAAGCTTTTCAGATGCTCTGGGGATTGGGATAAGGTTCTGCGGGTGATTCCCGATCGGGTTTCCGCGCTGGTCGAGATCCATCTCGAGAGGTTGCAGGTTAGTGACGCTGGCCTGACGGCATTATCTACTTGCCTCAGTTTGGAAATCCTGCACCTGGTTAAAACTCCGGAGTGCACGAATTTCGGCTTGACATTGGTTGCAGAGCAGTGCAAGCTGTTGAGGAAGCTTCACATTGATGGATGGAAGGCCAACCATATCGGCGACGATGGACTGATAGCAGTTGCCAAGCACTGCCCTAACCTGCAAGAATTGGTTCTCATTGGAGTCAATCCAACCAAGATCAGTCTGGAAACCCTAGCATCCAACTGTCCAAACCTAGAGCGACTAGCCTTGTGCGGAAGCGATACTGTTGGCGATGCAGAGATCTCTTGCATTGCTGCAAAATGCGTAGCACTGAAGAAGCTCTGCATCAAGAGTTGCCTTGTGTCGGACGAAGGGATGAGAGCCCTGGCAACTGGTTGCCCCAATTTGGTGAAAGTGAAGGTGAAGAAGTGTAGAGGGGTGACTTGTGATGGTGCAGAATGGTTGAGAGCGAGTAGAGAATCGCTTGCGGTGAATTTGGACAGCGGTGAAGTGGAGCATCAAGATGCAAATGCTAGTGGTGGTGGTGGTGGTGGGGTGCAGGATAATGGGGCTGAGAATCCTCCTCAGGCAGGGCTGAATCAAATGCCGCCTGTAGCGCCTTCGATTGCTGGTGGATCGAGGAGTACTGCGCGTTCAACTTCATTCAAAGCGAGGTTAGGGCTATTGGGTGGGAGGGGTATAGTGGCTTGCACTTTGAGAAGATGGTCTAGTGGCAATGGCGGGTCTCAAAGCTAATACGATGTCTCCTGAGACGAAAGTTTCGGAACATCACGGGCGAGCGGGGCTTATTGAAACTGTTGACATGCTTCCGCTTTGTTTTACATTCGTTTTTGTTGTTGTATCGTATCATCTGATTCTATCTTTTCTTTTCGGTGTATGTAAGCTGAAACTGGAAACTGCGTGGCTGTTGTATTGCATTCATAATTGAATCTTTTAAATTTACTGCAAAGGATGATGCAAGCTAATAGATGATTACAGTTCATATGAACTTTGATGTTGGCTTATGCAGGAAGCTTTTGAAGGTTAGAAATTGCTCTGGTTGTGATTTATTTACCCTAATTAATCATGAGGTAATCCTCCCCAGTTGTTAATGACTTCTTCGTGTCCTTTAATCATCTGCTTGAATCGGCCCGCTTTGGGAGTTGAGACCCTAGATGGAAGCGTGAGGGAGAAGTTTTGGTCGTGTAAAGTGAAAGAAAGAAAGTAGGGATCTTTTTCCTGCGGCTTTTGTATAGTAAAAGTCAGGGAGGCAGACTCTTGTTTACGTGTTGAAGAAGAGAATAATAGTGTTCTCCACGTTGAATATCTTTTGCGTATTAAGCACGTGTTTATGCCTCTTTAGTCGTTCGATAGAGAGTTGGGTAACTGTGTACAGAGAATACAATTGCAGCACAACCGCTCGTGTTTTCGAGCGTATTGCCTGCAGTATGATTGTAAATCGGACAAGTTCGGCTTGTGGCAGTAGGAGAGGCGCGATTAGAATTTTAGGCAGAAGCTTATTAGCGTTAGGTACACCTGCTGAGGCTTTTTAACCTCTAGTTAGGCTGATTGCCCCTATCAATATGACATATTCAAATTTGTAATGTGGGATTAGGACAAGATATAGTCACTATTTGAGAACATTCTTGCTGTCTAAAGTCCCCCCTTTTACACTTGTATTTTGGTTGGGAAAAGTTTGATCGGTTGATTCTTACAATTGGACCATTTCTTATCTACTTTGTTTCTACACAAGTGTGCAAGCCCGTAGGAGTCTTTTGGACGGTGGATGTGAGGTTCAAATTCGTTGAAGAAAGTCTTGCTCGATTGGAGCAAAGAATGCGTCAAGTCAACTCCATGGATTCAAAATTCATCACTTTTCTGCACCACAATCCACCGCTTTTCAATTTCATTGATTAGAACGAATCATAACGAAATCCATCACTTTTCTATTGCGGAATTTTCGATGAGCCCTTCAGTTGATGTTCAAACAGAAACCAGTGTGTCGAGGAGGAAAACGAAGCAGTCCAACAGAAAGCTCGTGTCACGGTGTAGCTTTTCGTCCCACCGGCCTCTTCCATGCTTTCAAACAACTATAAAGAAAAAGCGAGAGCATGAAGCTTATCCCTTTTGCGAGGCAAAGCAAAGGCCAGCCTCAAGCGTCCATGACATGGCGAAAAGGACCATGGAGAAGAAAGACTGCTAATATGTTAAACCCTTTTGATGCTACAACATGAAATTGCCAAATAAATTCAACCATAACTGTGAAGATTTCCCACTATGATTTCTGCTGACATGTATTCGTATAGAAACCGCCCTTCTCAATTTCACCAAATCACAACTGCATTACCCTGCATCAAAGAGCTTCTCTACTGCTGTTTCTTCTCTCTTTTCGGTTGTGGCTTTTTGTACATGAGTATTTGACTCAGGATAGTTCCATTCATCAGCACGCCAAGCGCAGAGCCCGTAACAACTGGTACATAAGAGTTGAAGGAAAAATTCAGAACCAATGAAGCGGAAACTTCCCTGCACAGAGTGAAGGAATGAATTAAAACAGTGTTCAAATAGAAGGGGATGTTTTGAAATGATACCGCTCATTGGTGCTTTTTCCTGCAGGCTGGTGAATACTCTCACTGCAAAAAAAAAAAAACAACCAAAAAAGAGAACAATGAAACAAGATAATCCAACACTACAGCCATTAATAGCCAATATACTTTCACAAGGCGACTCGCTCACCCATAGAGCCGGCAAAGTTCATGAAAAAGGTTAGGAAGCTTAGCTCCCCAGTGCTTTTGTTCTGGAAAAATAACACAGAGACAGCAAAATGGTCATATTCACCAGTGGAGCTCGTAATTGCATTTGCAGGCACATGAAGAGGGTCCAGTTCCTTTCCAAACTATAGTAACAACTTACAGAAAAGTTGGCCCATATTTGTGGAATTCTTGCACAGAGGAAAATTGCATGCTGCGATGCCTGCAATGATATATTACACACCATGTAAAGTTTGAGCGTCCTAAACAATAACAGACATGCTTATTGAGCAATTTTTCTTCTTCTTTTTAATAAACTATTGAGCATTTTCTATGCATATGGTTGCAGATTATTTACCCAAGAAAAAAATAAAATCAAAAGATGCAATGGATGCATAAAACCATGTATGTCAAATTGGGAGAAGCGCGGATATAGAGACTTACATATAGAGCTTCGAAAAGCATGGGATCAATTCGACCAGCTAAAATAGTTGGTGCTATCGCAGAAAATCTGAATCATTATAGCAAGGTTGAAATGCGGACAGCAGACAGCAGAATTGAAACAGGTATGCAACTTTAGAGGTGAGATTATAAAAAAAGGATACATTAATGCCTTGATCCATGTCGTTGCCCCAACAGGTTGTGAAAAGTAGTAGATAACAGCAACTAAGACTATCGCTGCAATACATAAGTAGAGCGCATTATAAGACGGACAATATTCAAACTGTTCAAGGCAGTAAAACAAACTGAAAGATGGACAGGGCATTCATAGACAGTTGGGCAAAGAGCACAACATTCGGTTAGCAAAGACTGGTTACCTTGGATCAAGAGAAACACATATTCCCCATAAGCTGAAAATGGCAGGCCTTTATGCAGACAATATGCAAGAGCAATCGTGTATCCAATCGCTTCTAACTCGAAGGCAACAACACTCAGCCCTCTCACACTTTTGTGCTTCAAGATGATCAATATCTAGCGAGCCAGAAAATGGTATCATAGAACCAAAAAGATAACATAAAAAATCACAGGCAACGCCTACAAAGCAGCGGGAGATAAACCATAGCAGGTTAAAGTTAGACAATTTGGTTCTCAGTTCTCACAGCTTGAAGTCATCCATTGGGAGATAATTAATACCAAAGCTTAAGAGTTTAACACCTAAGGGATAAGAACAATCACAAGCATTGCCACACATAAGCAGGTAAGCCTGAGAAGCTTCTACAACAGAGCAACTACTATAAGTCCAAGAAGGGAAATGAAAACCTAAGCTAACAAAAATTCGAGTAAAGAACTACCCCAATTGTAGAACATACATAAATTGGATCACCAAAGCTCAAATTCTACTTCACCTATGAATCTATGATAGAATTACATACGGCCTGATGCCGCAGCTCATTATTTCAATCCAAAGATCGAATCTTTGCAGCATCCCAGCGGAGATTCATGGAACCCATCTATCCAAAGTAACAAATTACTTGCTTCTCCCGCTTAATGATTGAGAAGAAGATGCATGTAGACAAGTTGGAGATCAGGGGATGGAGATTCCACCTGAGGGAGTTTGACAGTAGTGGAGGCAGCGACGATGGCGTAGCCGAGGAGCTTAGAGATGAGAGGAAGCAAGCAGTCCTTCTCAGGGAACTGGCCGTGGCGGAGAGATCCAATTGCGCAACCAAAATCAATGCCTAGAAACGCCATGGTTTCGTCCTTGCTCTGGTCGAGCGAGGTTCTGGAAGAGTGTTTGGTATTTTTAGGGATCTAACTGTATCTGCTAAACCGGACCGGACCGAATTGCAAATTTGGTCACCCATACTATCTATTTGTAACAGGTTAGCCACTCAAATCACTTTCGCTTCAATTTAGCCACTAATACAGTGATATTACACACTTATATCATCTATGGTCACCAGCCGTGTAGTTTCGTTAAATTTGTCCTATGAGGTAGTCAACAGTTAAGTTTGACTGTTAAAATGATGATGTGGCAACAACCTGACCGACACATAGACACCACCTTTGCAGCCACGTCATAATTTAATTCAAAATTATATAATATATTATAAAAAATTCAAAAATTAAAAAAGATAAATTGGAAAAACTAAAATCAAACCCGACGCCATTAACCCCAAAACAGATCCCTCGCCGAGCGTTGCGCCGGACTCGACCCAAGCAGTTTCGGGTTCAACATCGACGCTAACCAACCGGAGATTGAACAAATCGAGGAGCACGAATGGGGAGGCTAAGACGCAGGAGAGGCTTAGACGTAGGAGAGGCTGTCGAAATTGTGGTCGCCGCCGCGAATTCAGAGCTGGAGAAGAGACTGACGATGATGAAGACGCAACGAACTTGACGCCGACGACAAGAGGCAGACGACGACGGGCTCAACCGGAAGAGGCTTTATTATCTTCCCGACATCCGAAGTCTGCTCTTTAGCTAAATTCGAAGCATTTTTTTACCATACTTGATTGCGCCAACAGGACACTATTTCACAAATCAATTCGACTTAAAATTTACAATTGGTTACTAAAATGTGAAATCAAAACTTTGGGTGATTCTATGGATAGCAAGAATCATACGAAAAAGGAGAAGAAAACGGAGGAGGCGACTGAGTTTGGACCGGACAACTTTGATGGTGGCAATTGAAACAGAGATCGTCGACGTTCAAATCTGGCAAGAGATGGATGAAAGGGAGATGGTCGGAGTTCTGTTTATGCTTCTTCTCCTCTTCTCGCTTCCCTACCTCCTCGCAATCAACGGCCCCGCCTGGGAGAAACAGGCCTGCTACGAGAACTGCTCGCAACTGGTAACGGTAGTCGGCGGCAGTGGGTCTTCTGGGAACAGGGGAGAAAGGCAGGGGAGTTAGGGGCGGGTCTTCTAGTAATGGCAGCAGCCAATAGCACAAGAAAAAGTGAGGGGCGGGGTTAGAGCGTAGATTTTTCTTCTCTTTTTTCTTGTCATTTTTCTTATATATTACAAAATAAATAATTTTTTTATTGCCACATCACTATTTCAGTAGTCAAACTTAACTATTGACTGCCGCGTAGAACAGATTTAACAGAAATGGACGGCGAGTGACCAAGGATGACATAAACGTTTAGTATTAATGGCTAAATTGAAGCAAAAGTGATTCGGATGACTAACCTGTTATAAATAGATAATATGGGTGACAAAACTTGCAATTCATCCTTAGAAAGTTCGAAGGAAGGTCTTTGTAGTTTGTACTCGCCTACTCAATTTATTTTCTTTCCTTTCTAGAAACATATTAAAATTGGAATTTCCTTATTTATTTATTAATCCATATATGATGTTTTGTATATTTTGCTAAAATGTTTATAGCCCAATTGTAAGCACGTACTCAAAGGTCTGTTTTCAATTAACAGACGTATGTTGAGTACTCCATCGTTATTGGATGAACGTGATATCAATCTCGTAAAATAAAATGTCATTGCTCTCATCCAACACTAACTCATAAATTTACAATTGGGTGTCCCCAAAGCCAATGTGAACACCATAACAGGGTGGATCACATCCATCCTCTTCACATTTAATGCTACAGTTGAACATCCTATAAAATATCTAAATGGAATATAAAAAAGAACAAAATGATGAACAATTGAGTTCTATGTTATCTCCTCCACCAGACATAGTATTAGTAACCTTCTTAATCTCCACAAGCCACAATGCCACATCACATTGCTCTTATCTAAAGAATATTATAAGAGTTTTCCCATAAATAGGCTCCCCAATTCAAATTTCCCGTTACCTTATGTTTCCACGTCAGCGACCCCCCTCCAATCAAAATCCGCCAGATGTTGAAAAAGATAATGAAGAGATTTGGAAAACCAACCCCTTGCTTCACGTAATCCTCAATCCCTTCTCCACAATTTTCCGTCGTTATTTTATTTATATTTTTTTTATATAAAAGCCCCCTAAACCACGACTGCATCTTGCGAAATTGCAAGGTCTTTTGTTTTATGTTTTCATTTGTTGGAATCGTTCCCCTATATTTTAGGGTTCTTTACCTTTTTTTTTTTCTCAGACCAATATATATTTGTAATTCACAAAAAAATGTATATATTGTTTTAGAATTTGGGCATTTTATTCCTCCAAGTTTTCGATAAAATTTTTTTGGGATTTGGCTTTTTCAGATATTTTTTTTTGCAGTATATTTTGGATGATAATTATTGGGTTTGTGATGGGTTGTTTGCCAATTTTAAAGGATCCTTTAGCGGATGTGAATTGATTTCTCGAATGAAATCAAATTAACATTTAGTTATCTGTCATTGAACTATCAGTTAATATTAAATCATGTAAAATTAAAACAAGTTAAGCGTTTATATATTAGCATATAAATATAAGTGTATCTATAATACTATTCTTGGTAAGATCTACCATTCATTCAAGGCTTCATGAATATATAGGATCATAATGTGTATATGGATTGTAAATTTAATTTACAATTTGTTTTTTTAATTGATATATTTGTTATTCAAGATGCGCTATGTTTCATATGCATCCAAGCTTCATGGCATATAATAAAAATGCTCTTTTAATTATGAATACTTATAATGTTGCATGAAATCATAGTGTTGGTGCCCACTTTAAATTATCAAACAAATATTAAAAGAATGTCAAAAGGCGAACCCTCAATCATTTGCTGATTGTTGAGTGCCTTCCATTGGATAATATGCATAAACATAATACTACCGAGACTTTCTAAACCTCCATGGAGGGTATTATTCAAAATTATAGAATTGAATCATGATGAATTGGAATGCTAATGTTGGCATAAACCTATGATGGGGTTAGTTAAGAGACAATATTCATGTATTTAGAGGTGAGAAGCTTAACTTGGAAACATGTCTTCCTTACACCAAAAATTAAAATTATTTGAATGCGTTCACTATTTGGTATATATAATAAGTTTTATTAGGTCAAGGTATTAAAAATAACTTAAACTTATATAAGGATAATTGTTTGTATTACTAATATTTTAATGCCAATAACCGTGCAAAAAATAGTTTAGCACGAAGATCGCACAAGCAATAAATAATGGGCCAACGGAAAAAATATATTCTCACCAAATAAATTAATTAATATAAATAAGAAAAGAAAACAGACCCGGCCAACGGGCCGGGAAGAAAGCTAGTATGCCTTAATGCTGAAGCAATTTCTGATAACAAAGGCAATAATAATACAGTTATGACAGATTATCTTACAGAAACAATGAAACGAAGCTCTGTGAAGTAAAAGCAGAAAGCTGTAATTTGATTGATTTAGAGAAATTACAGAGAGTACCATTTGACTAAAATAGTAATCCTCAATCCCACAGGCATTTACAAATCGACGAGAAGATAATTTATCTGGAAGCCTGATTAGTATATCTCCTGCTAAACCAAATCCCAGCCATTAACATCAACCACTACAGGGATTGCCGTTTATTTACATAAACCAGTGTATCTGAATCAAACCCCACACCCCCTCTTCTTCCCCCCCAAGTATTTTAGTTCTCCAGATCACTGAAATTCAAATGCGAAGCAGAGCAAGAAGAAACCAAGTTTCCTCCACTGTTCCACCATTAAATTAGTGGAATGCTCAATCAAACTTCCAGCTTAAGCATTGCTCTTCCTGCCAAGAATAGCGTTGAGAGGAAACCGAGGCTTAGCCCTGTTGCTCTTCATCGCCTTCACCGCCAATGGGTTGTTTGCACTCTGTCCAATCCACAAAAGGAAGAAGAAAAAAAACACTCATTATAAGAAAGAAAACAAGTTGTAAAAGAACATGGAGCTTTGAGTTATGAGCAATTTTCTTACCATCATGCAGGTGCCCTGGTTAACATTGCAGACAGGGTACTCGTGCGGGCAGCAGCTGTAGTGATCAGCACAGCAGGTGGCGCCATCGAGAGGGCAGCATCCCCATTCGAAGCAGTACTTCCCGAACTCGAAAATGCAGCAGCAGGTCTCACTGGCGGGGCAGGAGTAGTAATCGTCGCAGACGCTGGGAGGAGTGACCGGAGTCGGCGGGGACGGGCCGGGCTTCGGCGGGTTCTGGCCGTCCTTGACAGGGTAAGAAGGCTCCATCGCAATGCCGCAGAGGCCGGTCTTGGCGGCGATGTTCCTCTCCATCCTCAGGTAGCCGCTCTCCCCCCAGCTTTTGCCCCATGAGTTTCTGACGATCCAGTAGTCCTTCCCGCCTTCGCTCCCGTATCCCACCACTCCCACCCCGTGGTCCAGTTGGGTTCCGCATGGCCCGCTGAATATTCCCTGCGAGGGTAATTAACACAGAGTTCGTAAACTGAACTAACTCCCTTTATTGCATCCTGTCTTGCAATCTCTTATTCACGGAACATTGTCTTACCGAAGTGTAGAGCTGGAAACCTCTGCCACCCGCTTCGATGGCCACAGCAATGGGCTGATTTGCAGCAGCCTTCTGCAATGCGGCCTCGTCGTTGATCGGAACATCCTCGTAGTTGTTGATCGTAACCACCTTAGCATTGTTTTTCTGCGGACATTAACAGGAAGAAAAAAAAATGTGAGTCAAGGTGTCACAAATGACTAGGCATCATCACTGCTGTAGAACAAGGTAAGAACACAGAGAAGGGTAGTAGTGTAGTACCCTGTAAGAGTCGCATCTGCCATCGTATCCCGTGTAAGGGTAGTCGAGATCGGTGTCGATTCCGCCGTTCTTGATGATGAACTCGAATGCATAGTCCATCAGACCTCCGTTGCATCCTTCGTTGTAGGAAGTGTCGCAGTCCACCAGCTCTTGCTCGGAGAGGGTGATGAGTTCCCCTGTTACAATCTGGTTGATCCCTTCGACGGAGGACACCGTGGAGAACGCCCAGCAGCTCCCTGTTTCACCATTTCCATACCCCAATCAATCTCTGAATTAATCAAGCGTTAATAAAAATAGGTTATTAAATATCTTCGTCGGTAAATTTATAACTTGATAGCTTTTATTAAACCAATAGATACAATCCAAGTCATAGTCATACAATGAGCTATCAAGTGATATAACAGTCGGATTATGCTAATTGAAATTTCGGTGGGATTAATTTACCAAAAAAGGGGTGCTATTAGACAAAAAAAGGACAGCTACAGGTGGAGATATTTTAATGGGCTGAAAAGCTTATAGGAAATTTGGCCGAAAGTGGGTCCCGCTCACCGGACTTTTTGGGAATATTTATTTATAATAAAACCAATCCTTTCAACCATTGGGCCAAAATTCACAAGTCACAATACAATAATTTCGAATCTGGATCAATAAATTAACAAAATTATAAATATATCTTATCCCGGATTCCCTGGACTCCTATTGATACACGCCACTTTGACGGACTCGCCGGCGGGCAGGCCGGCCGACGCTCTGCTTACCTTCCGATCAAACTCGGTAACTCACTGAGTCGCTCAGCTCTAATCGGACTTCAAAAGTAAGTCCCAAAGCGGAAATTTCACAAGAATGAGATTCAATCCAAATTCCAGAACTAATTAATTACTCATACGATATTCTGACCTAAACGAACTTAAGATCGATTGTCCAATTTAGTTCAAATCGGTCTAGATAAGAAGAAACCGACGGGGATTAATTGAAGCAAAATAGCAAAGAAAAGCTTGGATCGGAAACCTCCGACTTACCGCAGCCGCCTTGGTCCTTGACTTCGGCAACGGCGCCTTTCGTCCTCCAATCGATTGAATCGGGGAGTGACTCGCCGACGCGCGGCGCGTACCGATCGGAAGGCCTGGACTCGCGGAGCGGCTTCCCCTGACCTGGACGGACTCCGAGGTACTTGGAGCGGTACTCGTCGTTGGTGAGATCGGCGAACTTGTTGAGCCCGACGGTGTAGGTGTGGTTCATGGAGTTGTGGCTGTCGATGAAACGGAGGTTGTCCTTGAAGATCTGGAACCGCTTCTCCTTCTCTCCTCCGAGGGCGTTGCTGTAGGCCTTGGCGTGCTTGGCCAGCCACTCCTCGTAGATCGTCATCACCTCGTCGTCGGTCCTCCAGCTGGAGGCGGAGCTGGCATCGGGGTGGGATTGGTCGTAGGAGACTATGGACATGTCCAAGGCGGATGAGAGGGTGAAGGCGAAGCAGAGGAGGAGTAACGTAGCCGACGAAGAATTAAGAGATCCCATGGCCCTTTTTTTTCCTTCTTCCTTTCTGGTTTTGGTTGTTTGGGTGGAGATGAATTTGGAGGCGAGGACCGGAGGATAGTAGTACCAGGGCTGAGGGCAGTGGGATTTTAAAGGAAAGGAGAGTAGTAAGTAGAGTGAGAACTGAGAACTGAGAATTTTTTTTAATCTTATTTTGTTT